CCTCGCACCGGAGCTGCTCCAACAGCCAAGGCTCAGGGTGACCAGGACATTTGACCCCCTCTCTGGTGTCACCAGGGGTCCCCCAGGGGTGTCCCTCCCCCCTGTCTCTCTCTCACCTGCTGCAGGTCCGCGGTGGGGACGGGGTCGCTGGCCAGGACTTGGTGGGGTTGGGTGGTGAGGGATGGCAGCAGCGGGAGCTTCTTCCAGTGCGGCAGGGAGCTGCTCAGCATGGCCAGGCGTGTGCTGCGGTGGGGATGGGGGTCAGCAGCCAAGGGGGGGACCCCAGATTGGGGGCTGCACCCCCAGCACCAAGGGGGAGACCCCCAGGCACCCACAGAACAAGGGTGGAGACCTCCAGGCTCAGGGTACAGCACCCCCAGGCACAGAGGGGAAGACCCTGGCTTGGGGTGCTGCACCTCCAGGCACCCACACCACCAAGGTGAAGACCCCCAGGCACAAAGGGAGAGACCCTGGCTCAGGGTGCTGCACCCCCAGCACCAAGGGGGAGATCCCCAAGCACCCACAGCACCAAAGGGGAGACACCCAGGCTCAGGGTGCTGCACCCCCAGGCACCCACAGCACCAAAGGTGAGACCCCCAGGTTTAGGGTGTTGCACCCCCAGCACTGAGGTGGGACCCCAGCTCAGGGTGCTGCACTCCCAGGCACCCACGGGGAGACCCCCAGGCACCAAGGAAGAGACCCTGGCTTGGGGAGGCTGTACCCCCAGGCACCGAGGGAGGACCCTGGCTAAGGGTGCTGCACCCCCAGGCACTCACAGCACTGAGGGGGAGACCCCTCCAAGCACCCAGTAGCACCAAAAGGGAGACCCCAGCTTGGGGTATGGCACCCCAAGGCACTGAGGGGGAGACCCCAGCTCATGGTGCTGCACCTCCAAGCACCCACAGCACCGAGGGAGACCCCCAGGCTCAGGGCGCTGCATCCCCAGGCACTCACAGCACTGAGGGGGAGGCCCCCAAGCACCCAGTAGCACCAAGGGGGAGACCCTGGCTCGAGGCACAGCACCCCCAGGCACCAAGGGGGAGACCCTGGCTCGGGGGGCTGCACACCCAGGCACCCAGGGGGAGACACC